GTGAGAAATGTTCATAAATTTATATATTTTATTTGCTCGTTTGATATATTTGTTGATCGTATTAAATACATGAGATATTTGTCTTGTTTTTTTGAAATATGTTTTTTATGTTTGGTATAATCATTTATACACAATTAAATAAGATATATGCAATAGCTAAAATTAAGAATATATATATTTACAAATAAATCTTTAATTTATTTATAAGTACATATTCTTAATTTTTATCATAAAATAATCATTTACGAAGGTACATATTCTTAATTTTTATCATAAATAATCATTTACTACATCTAAAATTTCTAATTAAGTTCTATATATGATTCATGAAAGTTTCATAAAACATCTGTAATTCATCCTGTAATACAACCTCCATGAGACATCTACATGGACATCTAAGGGAGATCTAATAGAGCTCCATTGGAACTCCTTCATGGAAGTAACATGGATCTCCATTAGAGGTTCATCTGACTTTCACTATGGAGATAGATGTTGCATGGAGACTGTGGAGGTTATGTGGACCTCCAATGGACGTCATGTTCCGTGTGGGATGTCGTTAAATCCCCTTCCTAAAACACAAACGCACGCACACACACACACACACACACACACACGCGCGCGCGCGCGCGCGCGCGCGTGTGTATACTATTTTATTGAAATATTTGTTAATGGGATATTCCTAGTACTAGTAATTTATCTAATAATATTAATATATTATTATAAATGAATAATTAAAAAAAAAAGTTAAAAATGAAGGTACTTAAAACATAAAGATTTGATAATATTACAATTTGTGTATAATAATAATAAATATCATTAAAAATTAATTTATAGTACATAAGAAATTAAAAAATTGTTTAATTGTTTAATTGATTTAATATGTCTAAAGTATAATTGATTAATTACTTTTTATAATGGATTATTTCAATGTCGATTATTTCAGTGTCGATTATTTCAATGTCGATTATTTCAATGTCGATTATTTCAATGTCGATTAGTTCAATGTCGATTATTCTCGATACATCGCCATATTCGATGTAACCGACTGAGTTAGCTGTGCATGCCCCGTCAGACGTTAGATGCTGAAATACCGCCGCCATTTTGTGTAACAGCTGTCGCTCAGCAAGTAGATAGTATAGCTTGCGGACGAGCTTATTGTGGCTTATCGAATTATTTGCTAATTGTTCGGTGATTCGTGTAGCGTGCAAAACGGGACAATCGCGAAAATGTATAATCGCAGTGTAATCAGTGGTTTTAAATTTACGTAGATCGTAATTATTGATACTTTTCTTGTTCAATGATTGCCTATCCAATGATCAACTGTACAATAGTTCAGCACGTTTACATTTGAATACAGGTATATTACCGATTTTCTCTAAGATTAATTTTATAATTTTATTTTCGATATAAAATTGTGTGTCCAATTATGTCATGATCGAAAATAATTTGTTTTTTCACAGTTGTATAAACTAGATTTTGAAAGTTACATTTTGTGTATTACATTAATATACCATCTCATTTTGTAATATAACATCTTATTTTGTTACTCCATAGACTCCCCGTAAACAAATTTTCATAAATATAGTACATATTTTTATATGATATGCATGAGTTATCTTTTTATATTAAGTCAATATTTTGATGAATCATTTATATAACATTAATATTTAATGTTTATTAGTTAACTTATTAATTCTTGAATATTGAATTTTTATTTTAAAATTAAATTATTTTTTGCATACAAGTGTTTATAAATATTATTCTTTTTTTTACTTGATAATATTTAATATAATGTAATTTATAATTTAATGTTACATGTTACAGAAGGAAACATTTTGTCTGCATTCTAACATGGCTAGAGTTCTACCATATGAAAGAGTTGTAGATGCTGTATTCATACATAGAAATTCAGCGGTAAGTACCATTTTATAATAAATAATTAATAAAAAGTTTTAAATTAGATTTCTTATTTTGTATATATGACTCAAATCTTAATATTTTATGTTGTACAATTTATTTATTGGTAATGAGTTTTAAATTTCAATAAATTTTAAGATTAATGCAAAATGTACATGAAATTTAAAAATATGTTTTTTTAATTGATTTAAAAATATTAATTTTTTTTAATTGATTAAATTATGTTACATAGTTAATGCTTATTATATCATAACTCAACTTTTTAATTTTTATATCTTTGTACAAATAAATTTCTATATTCATTTTAAACATCTAAAGTATAATCTGAAATAATAGTCATTTTTAAATAGGAAATATTTGTCTTGTCAATGAGATAAAATTTCATCTTTATAAAGAAAATTTCTAAGTTTAAGAAATATATATACAAAAATGTTAATCTAAATTTAAATTTTTTTATTTTTATGTTACATCTTTTACTAGTA